TAGTAAAATGACAAAAATACTGGAAATAAAATAATAAATCATGCAGTTTTAACTTAGCTATGAAAGGTTACAGGTCCCCCTTTTACAAAACTTTCTTTACATCCATAGGCACTGCAGCGGATAACCATTTTTTCTTAAATTTTATGTGACCAAGCAGAGCAGGCGTCTTTCGTCTTATAGAAATTAATGTAAAGTATTTACGGACTTTTGGAATTCGACCAGCAGTCACGTGACACTAATGTTGGAACCAGTCGGAGGTTGCAATAAGCTCTCTACCAGTATATATCTCGTTGGGAAAATATCAAAAATGCTTCTAATCTTATCTCTTGGGCAGCCATTATAGAAAGAGATTTTTTTTTATTAATAAAGAAATTGAAAACTTACAATTTTAAAGATTCATCTAATATGTCTAAATGTATCGTACACAGAGCTGGTGCTATGCATTTTCCCACCTGATGCAATCTCTGTGTATACTAAATTCTGCTGCCTAGTGCCTATCTAAATTCTGCTTCCAATGCCTGCTCTAAATTCTAAAAGTTTTGCCATTTCTAGATTTTGTTGTTCTGTGTGTCACTAAATTCTAAAAATTCTGCCACACCAGCTCTGTAACCGCCCTTTGCCATATATATTTCATATTTCTTCTGAATGTTCATATTACTAAAGAAATAAAATTAGCCTCTTTTTCTGTACATTCTAAATGCATTTAGTATTTTTTAGAATAACAGAAATCCTTAATTAAATCCAAAAATTCTAAAATTAAACGGAAACACGTTGAAGAAAGAAACCGATTACATAAAGAAAACTATTCTTCAAAGATATGTGCAGTTATTAAATTACACAATTGTTTATTATTTCAGCCTTTACTATAATTTTCCATTTCTATTTTCTCACCAGAATTAAATCACTTAGTTTAAAATCAGTTTAAAACTGAGGTTTTTTGAGTGTAAAGAGTGTGTTTCTGACCTTCATGTTCCCTGCATAGTTTCTGCCAGTTTATAATTTGTAATTATTCTCTTTGATTACCGTTGCCTGCCGACATTTGAATTTGTTATGATGATAGAGTTACTGAGCCAGCTTAAATTAAAATTAAACTGTATAATCTTTGACCACTAGTCCACGTTTTTAGTTTGAATTTGACTGTTGTTGTTTAATTATGTCACCTTGAGCTGTAATTCACTTTGTTAGCATAAGAACATGCCTTAATGTTCTAAGTTCTTTGTCTGACTTTGTAGTTACTTTCAGACATAGTGATAATTTGCTTCACGTCTATCGGATGGGGGTTGGGACTATTTAACTTTTACCAGATCAAGTAAACCCTCATAGGTACATTGTGGAGAAGTTGACAGGAGATAAAGCACACAGATACTAGCGAGAACATTGGTTTGCATATTGAGACAAATTTCTCATTATTGTCAAAAAAGATTGATAATTAAAGAGAAAGAAATCAATATAAACTAACCAAAATGTTTGGGACGCCTTGTCTTCTCTGAACTTTCAGTAACTTTCTTCACTATCGGTAGCGGTATTTTCTGGTTCTAGAACCATGCTAGATATTTCACCATTCATTAATTGATTGAAGATTGAGAAGCATTGTCATCACAATGAAAATCTTCTTTTATATCATCTTCATTTATTACCACTTCTCCACATTTCTTTAGAAAATCCGTTAACTGGAAAATTTCACCTTTATTTTGCGATATTCGAAAACCTTTAAAATTAATGGCTATCATCATCAAATTTAGCTATACTTCATTATACATATTTGGCTATGGGTCATGAGCTTGGTGACTAATGACAAGTTGTTCCGTTAAAATTTATCTTGCTTCTATCGTGCACTAAGACAATTAAGCCTGAAATGTATTAGTTTAGTTATTTATTAGACTTATAACTATTTCTTGCACATGCTTAAAGCTTATCTAAGTCCTGAATAAATAAATTCCCACATATACTTAAGGCTTATGGAGGGACGGTGCTAGATATCTTACTGCCTGATGCAGTCTCTGCGGGTTCTAAATTCTGCTACCAAGCATTTTCCTTTGTCTTCTCTAAATTCTGCCACCCATTTTGGGCTTTATGTGAATAAGAAATTAGTTATTTGTAATTCAAAGAGCGTTAAATGTAATCTTTTGGCCTATAAGTATCATAAACAAAATCCATTTTTAGCATATGGAAAGAAATTTTTCCTCGTCAACATTTCTTAAAAAAAATTAGTTATCCGTAATTCAAAGAGCACTGAATGTAGTCTTTTAGAATATGAGTATCATAAACAAAATCCACTTTTAGCATAGGAAAGAAATTTTTCCTCGTCAACATATCTTAGCACATTTAACTTAAATCATCTGTAATCATTGCCAAGCATAATGTCAACATACAAGGTTACCATACTCTTCGTTATTCAATTACTAACATTAAAAAAAAAAAAGAAAAGTGTTTAGGCATCGCTATGTAAGTCATTAGTCAAGTTGTCATGTGTTGATAAACATGCGGTAATGAAAGCAAAATACAGTCAAAAGTCGTTAATCCGGACTCGTCGGGACTTCGGCGATTCCGGATTATAGATCATCAGTTTAAATCTCGTAAGATGGCATGCAGAAATTCTAAAATTAAAAATATGAAACCGTATTTTATGAAATAAAGAACAATTATGATCTAAAGGGTATCAAAATTTACAAAAAAAAAAAAAAAAAAAAAAAAAAAAAGCTTAATATTTATTTTTTTACTTTATTAAACATTTCTTTCAATGTAAGTTGTTTAAGTTGCTTCATTTTATGTGATAATACTTTCTCTTTAATTCTATAAACAGACATAATTTCTTGTTCAGTTACAAAGTTCCGCTGTTCAAGTCCCGTTAATTGCTGTGCCGAGAATACCGACTAACTTGTCAATCAAAATTTTTTCGTTTTCACTAACCTCTCTGTCACATTCTTCATGTCTTTATCCATTTTTTGCAGCAATTCCACTTTTTGTTTGTTGGACATCGAAACATACTTTCGTTTTGTAGATCCTTTGGAAGTTCCAGCATCGGAAATTCTATTTGACATAATCGAAAGTTCAAGTTTACATTTATAAAATTGCTCTTACAGTCTGCAAAAAATAATAAGCGGGATCCAATTCGAAGATTAAGAAACAACGCAATCATTAACATTAAGTGATATAGATAATTAGATAATTTTAGCTTACACCGTCCGTTATACATTAAACGCGCAGGCGAAAACGTATTCTGCACTTGCGCACACGCATATGCGCAGTAGTCAAGGTCTTACGTGCACGCGTAAAACGCCTGTGCGCATGTGCCAACGCGGCGCATGCGCAGAAAGTTTTTAGCTTTGAGGTCCGGATTATGGGTGTCCAAATTAACGACTTTTGACTGTATAATAAATAATGATTCGCCAGCTTGGCATCAGACATATAAAATATAAGAAAATGTAAATTCAACAGTGTATGTATGTAGAATGTTTCGGTTTCGGATGTAAGCCAAGCAGGCAATTTGGGAGCTACAGAGCCAAGTTATTGATGATACAAATTTATGCTAAAATGATTGCCAGTGTCAATGATTATAAGTTACGGAGCGCCTATGGTTCAAAACCATGCACCTCCACATCAGAAAAATATCTAAGTAGTGAACAGAAATAGGAAAATTGCATAACTGGTTATTGTGATGCACACTAGAGGGAGCTACATCAAGTTTTTATTTATTTATTTATTTATTTTTGTGGGGGGGGGAATTTTATGATTTTAAACTTTTTTTTTTTTTTTTTAATTTTATAACACATAAATACGACACTAAAGCAAAAAGTGGAAAGGAAAGATTTTACAGATTATTAGATTCATTGGCATATGGCACTAATCATAGTGAAGTAAACTATAAATTTTCGTGATGAAATATCCAGGGCAGAAATTTATTTCTGCGAGCAGGATGATTAAATAGTGAACGGATTGATAAGAATGCAGAGGTGGCCACTTTTCAGTAATATTGAAGTAGATCTAAAATGATTGCTTCTTCAATAACAAAATATCTTATTTAGTGTTGAAGTGAAATTAAGAATCAAGACTCTTCCGATGGTTTATTATGCGTGGAGGGGGGAATTAAATGTGCATGCCTATGAGAAAAACATTGTTGGTGGTTTTGAGGTCCGGATTTTAGATTATTCTGGATAATGGACGTTTGAAATTTGTACTGTATAAAAAATAATTTTAGTACATCTAACTAATGCAACAGTTATTATTTTGTATCATGAATGTGATAAATAAAATAGATTTTTATTATCTTGTAGTACATTGAATCGTAAAACTTCTTTTTAAGTGATAATCTGCGTCACAACAGTTTTCCTACTTACATAATTTTATGATTAAAAAAGCAAATACAGAAGTGAAGTGTAGGCCTGAGATTTCAAAATTGAATTTATTTATATTATTAGGTAAAATTCATTTTTATTAGCTAGCAATAGTAGGTATTATTTATATGTATATAATCTTAGAAGAGGGATACTCCTTACTGTATCAGATTTTCCATCTGGAATTTTTGGTGTATGTTTTTCGTTTTTATATGTTTACTAAGAATTTCTTTCTTTCTTAAATGTTGTAAACTGCACTAATTAATGTTTTAGCAAATTTTTAAATTATGATTATTTTTTAAATATTTTTTTTTTTTAGCAATGGCTTAGGATTATAAGCGTTGCTCCCGCTTGACATTACAACTCACACTCAATGCAAACTGAGAAGCAGAATTTTAGTCTAGATGCTAATGTATGAAATTATATGTATCAAATCTCGTATTTGCTTAACTTGTAAAAGAAAAATATTTTTGGTTTGTATGTGCGAGAGAGATGAATGTTTTCTGCAACACACATCAAAATAACATTTTTTTCTTTGTTTGTTTAATTTTCTGTCTACAGTATATAAACATTATTGTCTTATTGACAGCAAAATTTCTTCTATTGCTAATATTTGCTTATATTTTCTACTTTTATTTATTTATTTAATTTCTCTATTTTTCTTAGGTCTCTAGGTGTAATAAATGACTATTACAAAAATGTGTATATCAAACCATATTGCAGAATGGGACCATATATTGTGGGCATTGCTGTTGGATATTATTTATTGCATAAAAAAGAGCTGCCATTAAGCAGGGTATACTTCATACTTACAGACTATTTAATAACATTTGTATATTTTATTACATGATAAATTTATTATATAGACTAGAGATGGCCAAACTTTAAGACGATGGGAGCCACGTAATAGGTTTCATGAGCGTTCGAGAGCTGCAAGTCCAAATTGTTGCCCTGTTTTAAAAATAATGAGACATGTTTTGAATATAAAGAAACTTTTAAAGTAAAATTAATGAATATGTGATTAACATGATTACATATAAATATGAATAAATACATGTCATGACCTACTGTTTTGTGTTCAGAAAAGTTAAATTCCAAAGAAATAAAAATTTTTAACTCTTGAATTGGGCAACAGAGCTTTTTTCTTCAGGTAGAGAAACCAAATATTTTCTTCTGATATACTTTATACCTATCTGTTTATAATTACTGTTGTTTTATTTTAGTAGAAGTAAAATTAATCAAAAGCATATTCATTGGTCTACAATTACATAAAAAATTTTATTTGAGTAAATTATAAATCATTATTTAAAAGAAAATGGAGCATTTTTTTTTAACTCGTGAGCAATCTTTTAGAAAGGAAAAATTAAATGATACCGGTCAACACGCACTGCAGAGAAACTGTTATTTGAGAAGGAATATTTATTTAAAAATAAGCTATTAACTTTGCTTAAAAAGTAATTTTATTTCTCCGTACAATTAACATAAGGACCAACATACTGAGATCATTTGAATCTTGGAGAACCTAAGAAATTGTTAGACATTTTCCCCCTAAAACTTTGGAATAACTATTTTTACTAAAGCCTAGTATAGAACAATTCACACACACACACACACACACACACAGAGACACATACAAAAAAAAAAAAAAAAAAAAAAAAAAAAAGAAAGAAAGAAAGAAAGAAAAAGATTATGATTGCAATTTTAGTGGTGTTTGAATAACCAGTATCTCTCATAGTAGCCCCGACTTTGTATTTCAGTGTGGCATCCAACAAAATCTGCCAGAATGTTTTAATCAGTACACTGTGCATCATTGAAAATTCTCGAAACTATCTCTCGAATCATTCCAATAATTTTGGACATAGATAATGAAGTTCAGGAGCATCATTGAAAATTCTCAAAACTTATTTCTAGCATCGTCCCGATAATTTTTGACATAGATAACAAAGTTCATGCGCATCATTGAAAATTCTTGAAACTATCTCTCGAATCATCCCGATAATTTTAGACATAGATAATGAAGTTCACGTGCCTATCGTTGAAAATTCTTGAAGCTATCTCTCGAATTGTCCTGATAAATTTGGACATAGATAACGAAGTTCATGCGCATAATTGAAAATTGTTGAAATTCCTCCCCCCCATCTTGAATCGTTATGATAATTCTGGACATATAAAACCTATTGCTAATAAATCTAATAGTTCATGTTGGGCTATATAAATGTTTCATGGAGCACGTATTCCATCCATCTACCAGCCGAACTCTTCAACATAGCTATTTAATTTTGAGCTGTTTTTCAGATACATGGCAAATCAAAACTAATGTTACAGAAAGAAAACATACCTCTCACTACTATAATGAATTTATTTCATAAATGCAGATATGACATGAACTCGTAGCTCTTCACATTTCTGTAAACATGCACAGATATTTGATATGGAGGCCTTTTGTAACACAGTAGACGTCTGCATAATAGTTTAGATCCTAAGCTCTTGCCAAATAGATGAACGAATCCACCAGATTCTAACTGCTGGGCCCATAAAGGCAGTCAAATGACTTACTGTCTCGTTTGAATTTGTAAGCAAAATAACTTCGAAGAAAGTTTAAAATAAATAATTACCAGCCTGACAGTTACATAGTACAACTTTCCAATAGGTTACCTAACCTGCGTACAGAAAATAAATCTCAAATGGAGTTTGAAATGGAGTCTGTAGGCAGATATTTTAGAAAATAAAAGATCAGACTTTAAAAATAAAGACTTAAAGGAGCAACATTTCACATTATTGCCTGAAATTTGTAGTGATCAAGCAGTGGATCATTGTACAACTTTTCGTTTGGCTACTAAGCTTTCATGAAGAACATGTCAGACATACATGATGATCGAAAATTAGAATGACTAAAATATCATCAGATTAAAAAAAAAGTGTAATGCTGGCATAAGAGCCGGGGCAACTGGTGCAGTTGCAAAGCGTCAGTACTAAGGGGTGAAAAATTTAAAAAATGCCGGGTAGCAAAATGCCTCTAACCTAGTGCAGCAAACTGCATCTAACATAGTATGAGGTAGAAAGAAAGCAGTTTGTCAATATCAATATGCCGAATTTGACTGAAACTTTGGAGAAGAGAGATATTTGTATTCTGTTGATCTCTCATAGCTTGATGTAACATTATTAATATGAAGATTTGATGATTAAGGTAAAAGATCTCTATCTGGAATAACAATATTTGATAAAATAGGAAATAAAAATTTTGACTAAAATTTAAATCATTGTCAAACCTGTGATTCTTCTTGTGACTCCAAATATTTCAGCATGCACAACCATTGATGAAATAAATTATGATCTTTACCTAGGATTACCAAGGAATTATTATGAAAGATAGAGTTTTATGCAGGAAAAGTATTTATTAAGCATATTATTGTGAATGGTTGCAAAATATGTGAAACAATTGCATAAAAATGTCTGACTTGCTTAGGGATAAAAAATTAATTTTGAAGGAGTTCCACAGAAAGTCTCTCCAAAGTCTCCTAACCAAGTAAAAAGCTGAAGGTTTCCTCCCCCCCAAAATAAAATCCTCACAAAATTCTTCCCCGGATTAAAAAAGCTGTATATGGATTGCAAGTTGAAACAGGTTTCTTCAGCAGTTACTCATGCCATTCAAGGACTGAATAAAAGTAGTACCTTAGAACGTATAGCAAATCTTCCAGGTGGATCACAAGTGTTGTGAACAATGGGATCACACAGGAATGTAAGCAGATACTGCCTGAGATAAAATTAACTTGAGAGAAAAAATATTAAGAAGAATAATTAAGTAAAAACATTAGCATTGAGTTTCAGCTTAACCTCATATTAGTATATTCCGATGACCATTACCTGTTCAAAAAGTAACATAACCGGAACAGTAATTACCAGAAATAGAATTATATGTAATTTTACGTATTTATTACTCTGACGATAAGCCAGCAGTGGACAGTTTGACATCTATCAAATTTTTACATACAGAAATTAAATTAGCAATTTAGAAATAATTCACTGTACAATTTCTATTTCAGATTCCATTTTTATTAAAAAATTAAATTATATTTATTCAAAACAAGCCACATTTCAGATAGCAAAGGATTGCAAGTAGCTCGCGAGTGGTAGTTAAGATGTCGGAGAGCTGCAGTTTGGCTATATCTGGTATAGACCATCTTTATATGTATATATTTATTTGATTTTACCATTATATTACAGTATGTTTGAATAGTTTTAGCAAATTTTTGTTAGAAATTTAAAAAATGGTTTTAGTTATTACAAATTTTTATTATGTTTTTAATATTTTAAACACCATATGGTCAGAAATTAGCAGAATGATGGAAATGGATGAATTAATATTTAATAAAACAAGCTTAATAAAATTCTTCAGTGAAATTTCAAATATGGAATATCTTGAGTTTAAAATAATAATCTTAAAATATGCAAAATTTTAACTCCAATCTTATTTCAAGAAATTAATGTATTCTTATTTACATATGCACGAAATAATGTAGGGGAGCAAGTACTTTTTTGTGTAAGTTCTGTGCATGTTTCATAAATTACTTGCTTTTTCTTTTCAATTGCAGTGGAAAGTAGCTGTTATGTGGATTCTTTCAATAGCTTTGTGTCTGACTATCATATACCTTATGTGGCCAGCAAATCAGGGATATCTACCCTCAGACTCTGAAGCTGCAGCTTATAGCAGTCTATCTCGAACATTATGGGGCATTGGTGTTGGATGGCTAATTGTGGCTTGCTATTATGGTTATGGAGGTAACTCTTATTTTTTTTCAAGTATTTTAGGCTTGATAAAATATTGATCTCAAAAAAAAAAAAAAAAAAAATGAACATGGTTGATTTTTATTCCTATAGATCAGTCGTTCTCAATCTGTTTTGGTTCATGCATTTGTTTAAACCCTTGCTAAAAGATCATCCCCCCCCTTGTTTCCCAAACTAATGTATACATTTATTTAGATTTAGATTATTTTTAACATGTTTAAACATTTACATTTATTTAGATGCTGTTAAGAGTTCTAGCGTTCAACTGCACATTCGAAATCATTACATATATATTTTTAATTTCAGTAATACCAAATAAAATATTAAAAATTTAATTAAAATATTGAAAGCAAAACTAGCATAATCAAATTTTATAGGAGCAGTTAATAATGTAGCAAGTGAATTTAATCTTTTAATCCTTATAATATACATGTGTCAATGAATATTATTATGGTAATTTTTCCCTCTCATAACAATATAAACAATCACTTAACAATAAAAAGTTTCTTTTTTCATTAGATCAAGCAGTTAGATCACATAATGAGATGAAACATGTCACCTCATTTCATTCTATAAGCATTCATCTCTATTTAATGTTATCAGTTTGTTTATAAATGAAAATAATTAATAGTATCTTCCAAAATATCTTTTATCTAGTCTCTATTTTAACATTAATTACTCTATCTTGTATTCTTAGAATATTTTAAATGCTTATTTAAAAATTACTTGGCACTAAGATAGACAATCTCCTCAATACCTCAGAAGAAATAGCTTCATAATGATGACAACACCTTTATGCACATTAGCTGCTATTTGACAAAACAGAAAGCTTTATAAGAGTGCCCCTACAATAAGGTTTTCCTATCCGTATGAAGGTCAAATTTTAACTTGTAAAAAGCAGTCTTCATACTAGTACTTCATACAGCTACTAATAAGGTAGCAAATTTTTGAATTCATTTGTTTTGCTGTGCTATTCTGATTTGCCAAACAATGAAAAATTTACTTACATAACAGCATCTGATATAAAGGTGTCATAACCAGGAAGGTAGTTTTTTTAATTTTTTTTTAGAAATATATCTGCACAAGGATGCATCATCTTGTGCAAGGTACCATTATGAAAAATTATAATTATTTCATAATATGTCAAGGTACTATTATGAAAATAAGTCTGGCAATTATGAAATTTTGAACATTGTTCAATCACATAAAAATACTGATATCAAGGCATTTTTCTAAGAATATTAACTGGCATTGTAATGACATCATTTGCTATTCTAGGCTCAGTGCAAATAAGCTATTAAGTAAAATCTTTATATAATCTCTAAGATATGCATTTTTATATTAATGAAATTACACTTGATATGTAATGTCTTCATTAGGAAGGATTACTTTTTAACGTGGAAAGATATGTTAAATCAAATTTAATTTGTAGAATGGAAACAGATGTGTAAATTTTTGCAAAATGAATATCCCCCCTTTAACTTCATCTGACAATAATTAAATATTAATAAATAATTTTTAAAATATATTAATTAACTTAATTGAATTGATCCAAAAAGAAAACAATTTGCTTAGCATCAAGATAATTTTACAAAAGCAGCATTCAATTAACATGCAATTATGTACATCACATGAAATTTATGAAGAGGAAATAAATTTTTCAACTTAGTTTTAAGGCAAGCAAAGAGTTTCAGCAAATGTTTACAGTTCTAAAGTTGGCCTATAAAGCATTAGAACAGAAACAAAAATACCTTACATGTATACATACTATGTCAGAAGTCAAACAACAAAAATCAGCGTTAATTTACAAAAAAATTTACAAACCGCAAATGCGGTTTTGCAGCTGAAGATGATGGTTCGGTAAAACCATCGAAACTAGTCCTGTGAAAGTTTTGTAAATTAACGCTGAGTTTTGTTGTTTGACTTCTGAATTAGTATTTATTCGGCGTGTTATTGTGTCTTAATACATACTATGGTTTAAAATTTGTCTAAATATATGTCATTCTTAAGTTTTAGAGATATCAGAGTGAGAATTTTTGTAATTAAATGAAAGGAAAGGTATGTAAATTAGCAACATTACCAGCAGTACATTTTTTGCTTTTAAAAGATCTAGAATAAAATATGAAACTAGAATGTAACATCTTCATTATTTAAAAAAAAAAAAAAGATAAAAATTTAGTAACATTTTTGGAATTTTTAAAATAAAGTAGTTCAGAAGAACAGAAACAATAATTCACTTTCAGTTTCAAGTTTAATTCGCTTAGCAAATTCAACCTTGTTCTGTAAAGAACATTAATATGTGTTAAAATAAAATTTTACACCTAATACTTGCCAGAAGTCTACAATGGTTTGCTTAAAAATTTAACTCATGAGATTAAATAGAAAGCTATATCTTATATTACTTGAATTAATATAAATAAATTGATGATCTAGTACATAATGATAACTAAAATTTCAGGCTCTTTGATCAAAAATAAAAATTGTAAATAATTTTAGTTTCTATATTCTTGATGTTTTATGGTTAACATTATCTTATGCTTACTTATAGGTAAATATTAAAAAAAGTATTTATACAGGATGCTTTATGTATTAAATTACTAGTTACATATATAGCTATTTTAAACATTTTGATAAACCAGAAACCAATGCACAATTAAACGTAATATGAATAAATTCCTCCAGAATATGAAGCAATGCCATCTCAGTTTTCAATGAAAATTTTAAGATTTCTACATTCTTGGGCATTCTGAGCAAAATAATAAAGAAAACATAAAGAAGGTAAATAACAATAAAATTAGAAATGATACTGCAAGACATATTAAAAAGTTAAACAGAGTAACAGTAAGACTAAGTTTTTGAAGTCTTCCTTGAAAAATCAGTTTAAATTCAAAACTTTATTTAATATCTCAAAGTAGCGTTATTGTTTTCAGTATACAAATTTCATGTCCTGGCAAAATAGAAATTGTCATTTCACTTGCAAGAAACATTTGTTGCAAGCCCTATATGCAAGTAATCTAGTGCAAAAGGTCAATTGTGACTTGAATAATCAGTTTCTTTATTAACCCTCTGAGCATTACGGGTTTAGCCCTGAAATTTCAAAGTTCCTCAAAATGTCATGAATAAGTGATATTTTCTTAAATGACTCTTTCATTTTGTACCTTGATTCCTTTCCTTCCAATATACATCCAAACTGAAATCAGATACATTAAAAGCTAGCGGAAATTTTCATGTATAATGAATGTAGAAGGCACGGAATTGTCCGGCAGTTACGCTGAGAGGGTTAAATGCATGAAAAATTTCTTATGTTGCATTAATTCATGATGCAATAATACCACATTAAGGTTCTTCCCTTACAGTTTGGTACAGCTATTTCGGAAACCTAATTTAAAATATATGCCCTGATGTAAAAAATCACAGTATTTCTTTCTTTTTTTTTTTTAGATATATATTTTTTTTTTCTTTTTTCTGTCTTAAATTCCCCCTCCAAAAAACCCACAGATTTATGAGTTAGATACACAAAATATAATTCTCCATACTGTTAATGCATGCATTTGCTTACAGATACTTAAAAAGAATTAAATACACAGTAATTTAAGCTTCAGTAAAATTATATATTTTAGTAGCTAATAGCAGTTACCAAATTTTAGCTTAACATATTTAAATTAAATCAATTCTTAGTTGGCAGGTGAATTTAATTAAGGCAAAATATGTAAGAAATTTACCAAAGGATGAATACTTTCATGAAGGATATAATGTGTAAATGTACATGCTTCATGAATAATAATGCAATTATCCAAGATTCCACATAGCAACATTATCCATTCAAAATTGAAGAATTTTCAGATTCTCTAAAGTCTCGGCGGATTGCTGGAAGTGAGAACTTATGCTGTTTGCTTTGTCATTGGTTAATAAACAACATTTATCACATCAATTTTTTTCTTTTCATAATCAGACATGTTAAGAAAGTCTCTATATTAAAATCTGAAATAAATTTATTTTCATATTATATAAATTTCTATTCAGAGCACTCTTGTAATAAATTAATAACACAATTTTTATACAAGAATTAGAAATGCCTCTCAGTGTGTATACTCGGTACATAATTGTAAAAGTGGGTAAGTTTGTGTCAGTGAACCATGTAAATTTTACTTTCATTTAACAGGAAGCATAATACTCATTCTGAAAATCTCCAAATTAAGATTATTCATAACCATTTCAGAAAAATATAATTATTTTAGCTTTGTTAAATATTTAATTTCCTTAAAAATTAGTGAGAACAAAGCAAAATAAAATGTTTTAATATATATTTTCTAAGCATATAATTAATGTAATATGATTGTTTGATAATAATTAAACTCTTCCCATATTCTGTGCAACATAAATTAAAATAAAAATCAGGTCCCACATTAAAAATTGTTCTTATATGAAAAAATATTGGAATCAGTATATAAATTTCTTCTATATTTTAAACACCATTTAAATATTTTAGCTGTCATAGTTATAATACTGATGTCACATAGTTATAATACTGATTAAAGTCATTTAAATTTATGCAAAATATTGCGATTAAGTTTTCAATCTCAGATAATTATATTATTATTAAATTATAAAAATAATTATGGTATGGTATTAAAATTCTGTTAAAAAGTACTTTTGCACACTCTTTATTTTTCTTATTTGAAGAAAAAATAAAAGAACTGTAAACAAAGGGGGGGGGAATACTCTGAATTATAATTTTTTTGTAAGTTTTAGAATTTGTATAACATTTATAGTAATAACAAATAAGAAGTATTACGATGTTGGTAGTTTTTTTATCAGTACATTTGGCTTCATATAATTTTCATGTAAAGAATGTTCATGATAAAGCATCAACAATAGCTTCAGCCTTTTTTTACTCATATAATTTTCATAAAAGTAACATACAAAAGCACCATACCCATATTTCACTAAAATTACAGATATATTTTTAAGGGCCTAGGTATAATAGACATTTGATTAAAAAAAGTGTGGTGCTTTCAACAAAGAAATTTCTCTTGTCTTTAATCAAATATCTACTCAGTTTTCTCTTACTGTTATTAAGCTGCTGATGTTTAATCCCATACAATGGAAAAACATCTTTGGTTTTACTAGGTGCCATTTGAAATGATAATAGAAGCAAGTCAAATGGAGACCTTCTAATTAAAGCATTTTAACTAACCTTATTTCTCCATTATTACTATTAATATTTATCAAATGTCGGTGGTTGTAAAGGAAAACCAACATCTTATTTTACATTGCTTTCTTTTAAAGTTAGAGAGTGATTTAAGAATTTATGAGGTCATGCAAGTCGCATGGCCTAAATAAGTTCAGATTCTAATTCCTCAATCAAAGCACCTAAGTTGCTTTACTATTTATGCTCTTGTACTACATTTTGTTTTTTGTTATCCAAGGTCCACTTTTGATATTTATATGCTTTGAACAGTGAGTTAGCTTCAAAATGGATTATTCTAAACAGTTCATTCATATGTTCTAAATTATTCTAATTACTAGAAGCAGAATTAATGGCAAGTTGCACTGCAGTATCTCATTTGGTTTATACGAAAAGTCTTCATTCTCCTATAGAGCTAATCATCATAGCTCACAATTTGTGGAACTATTTTTGTTTATTTTCCGTTCTTTAAGTTACCGTTCTTAAGTTTAAGGTACGAATCATGTTGTTTGTGTTACGTACTCTGAAGCCTTACCTTCTTGGAAATCCAGTTATTTGGTCATCACTTTCAAACTCCACTTAATTTTTTTCTTCCCCTGAGTAAGAAAACTGCTGATCAACAGTAGTTTTATTTATACTATTTCATAAACTTTACAAGCACTACTGTTGCCTAAATTGCTTTCATTTGTAAAAAAATGCATTACTTGTATTATTATTGGTATGATTAGTATGATAATATTAGTATGATTATTTCTATTACAGTAAGTACATATATCAACACTCATGAAATTTATATATGATATTGAATTAAATTTATTGAAATAAATTTTTAAGGATTTATGAATATTTTGTTTGCAGGTTTTGTGAACAAATTACTTTCATGGAGTCCTTTGATTCCCATGAGTCGTTTAACATACTGTGCATATCTAATTCACCCTGTGATCATGAATGCTTATTATGGTTCCACTGAAACTACAGTTGACTTTTCGAACAGTTTTATTGTAAGTATTTTTTTAAATTTATATTCATGATTTGAATTATGTAATTAAAATTTTGATCTCATATTCATTATATTAAATAGTTGAAGATAAAAGAATTAACTGTTCTAACTTTCATACATACTCTCTGTGTTGTATTTTAAATGAAAATATTCATTAGTCATTTTTTGTATTATTATTTCTATTACAATATCATGTAACATTATACTTTGATTTATGTTTGCTTTTACCTTTCAAGAAGAATTGCATATTTGAACTTGCTTAGTTTCCACATGTATTACAATACTCATCAATTAATTTATGTTTAACATATTTTAGCAACCATTCAGGTTCTGATTTACTGTTTAATGCAATTGCAGACAAGATGTATGGATTTCATAAAGAGCACAGAAAAATTCTATTAAGTTATTTTTCTTAATTTCTTCAGCTATATTCTGAAGCTTTTCAGCTAACTATAATAGTCCCCTGATATATTCCAGTGTTTTAAAACTTTCATTATATTTAATAGAATATAATTTTCTAAGAAGAAATAATTTACTACACATTCCTGAACATATATTAGCTTCTGCTATATTTATTTAGCAAGTTTACTGTATAAAAATGAATCCGAAATGTTTAGGTACATTAAAAGCTTTTTGGTCACTTTTTAAGTAAGTTTCACTATCAGATTCTGGTTTTCCTTTGAACACAATGGTATCTAAACCTTCTTTTATTAGAAGTTGTTCTATTTTAAATTTCCAGACTGAATAATATTCATCTGTTAACTTTTTTTATATAAACTGATTCTTTTAGAAAGGATATTAGTATTCATTCCAATTATTTTTCAAATTTTGTAACTAATATTTTCAGCAACAAGAAAAAGTCTTGATACTTTATGCCACAGTAATTCTACTGTATAGCATTTCAATTTTCAATTTTAGTTTTTAGAACTTATTATTTTCTTTGTCTCAGAATCATTAACATGTTCTGCATTAATACAGCTAAGACATTTTGAGTACATATCCTCTATTAGCTTAGTTTCATTAAAGAATCAAAACAACTATGAGATTCTTACTTAATAAATAACAGAATTTTGCTTAAGTTGAACAAAAATTAAATTCACAATCTTGACAGACATTTGAAACTGAAGTGTTGAAAAAATAATGTACATAAATGCATATTTGCCAACCTATGACACTCAAAAATCAGGAGATTTTTTTAAGAAATCAGGAGATTTTTCACAATGTTAAAAAGACTTTTTAAATGATAAAAATATGGTTTTTAATAATGAATTAACTTTAAATAGTAACTAATTCTTAAATGCAAGCAATACAAAAATACCTTACACATAAAAAAACATTTTTATTACTTGCATCATTTAAGAAAAAAAAAAAGGGGGGGGAATTTTATTTTAGAAAAAGTTTCTTTCTAAAGAAACTTCCTACTTTTGTTCACTGCAATTGCCACATAGGCCTGCTTTTGCTAATAAAAGTTTTTCTAATGTGTCATCACTAATATTAAATCTAAATTTTGTCCTTGTTTACGCAACAACACTGAAAATCCTCTCACACTCTGCACTACTATGGGGAACTGTCGAGATGGCCAACACAATTCTAGACAGTTGACTATATTTTAAAATTCCATCAGCACCTTTCAGTTTTCCAATTAAACTCCACTGGGTGTCAATCCTAGCTGATTTTATAACTTCATTCAAGTTTTCTAATTGTAAACTGCTGTTATGCAGCTGTTGGAACTGTTTCAATTTTTCCTTCCTTTTAGAACTCCTTTCAAGATAATAATAAATATCAACAATGTGTTCATCCAAATTTATTAGTAAAGAAACTGCCCCTTTTTCAGCTGCTAAATTTAAGAGGTGACAGGTGGACTTCATAATCTGCAAATCTGAATTTTCCTTTCTTAAGATGCCTGCAACACCAGTCTTCAAGCCTACCAATACTGGTGCATTATCGGCACCAAGTGCTAAGCAATTATCCAGAGGGCCTGCATTTTCTTTTAAAGTTTAATAATTAGCTGTGGTATATTAAAGCCTGTCAAATGTCCTTCTAAAATGGGGACAGAAAGTAAACTGCACTCATTTTCTGAAGACTCTGGATCAAAAAAAGAAACAACAATTGGATACAGTTTTGAATCGGTATTATTGCTTCCATCCGTAGAGAGGCAGAACGGAGCTGTTTTTGTGCAATCAATAACTGAAGATTTATTTTTCAAACCCATTTCTTTAACAATTGCACCTGTTTTGGTTCTTGCACTTGAGTATTTCTTAGCAATTCCTCTATCGGGAAACATTTTTCTAAATAAAGCTGCAGCGTGATCCGATGCATTCAGTGGCAGGTTGTGCTCCAGTAAAAAGGCAGAGAACAGACATTCTGCATTAATAACTTTTTGGTCCTTTGTTTCCGAAGAAAAATTTAATTTTTCGTTTTTTTAAAAAACAACTCATGTTATCCTTGTGTTTTTGTGTTCGCACATGTTTGAAAACATCCGCCCTTCCACATTGCGAATTCGAAAAATCGCAACGACAGGCGGTGCACATCGCAAATTTATTACATTTCCTTGAGGAAATAATGGAAAGAAAGTCAACTGTGTACGATTTTTGAAACGTACACGAGTATTTCATTCTTGCAGACATAACAAAAGATGATAATTTCTAAAACTATTTCCCGAAGGCATTCTATTCCTGCACTCACACAACTCAGCACAAATTGAACGAAATAAGTAAAAGAACATCCAAATAACAGCTTGCCTTGTCCTCATTGGCTAATATATGCCAGCTGATACGCAGTGGAGTTTGATGCCCATTGGAGAACTGGAGAACGACGTTTCTGGGGATACGTATAATACTCTCACTCACAAAGCAGAAGTTATCTGATTCCTAAGGTTTTGTTTTAAATATAATCTAGAGAAAATTCAATTGTTTTCAGACATCCAAAATCATTTTTGTTCATATAACAAAGTATTAAGCCAAGTTCCATAAAAATCGTGAGAAATTTTAAGAATAAGAAAAAGTCGGGAGAAATATATTGTAAATCGGGTTGGCGGGATATCGGTCGAAAATCGGGAGTCTCCCGCCTAAATCGGGAGAGTTGGCAACTCTGTAAATGTAAATACACTTTCTACCGATAAGTATTTGGATACCTGTTATAGAAAAGAGAAACAGCATTTCTTCTTCATGTTCTATAGTTCTTAGAGCCTCCATGAGTGACAATTACAGCCTCAACTCTCTAGGGTATGTTTTCTACAAGTCCTTGTATGGTGGCTATTGGTATGTTCTTCCATCCGGCATGGAGAAGATATGCAAGTTCCTTCCATTCAATTAACCCCATTATCACCCTACCAATCCATGGTAGACCTTGCAATACGATAGCTGGCATTGTTGTTCTGAAAGTAACATGATTCCAACCTGTAAAAATGCCACATTATAGGAATTTAATTGTCATCCAAAATAGTGCAGTAGGTATTGGCGTTGAGCTTAGCATGAATTTGGACAAAGGATCCCTGTCCACACCAGGAGAAATTCCACCTCTGCCGAACGTTACTTTAAGCACAATTCATTCTGGCAGGAGGAGTTCTTCAGCCATTGCTATACCCACACCCTGCCATCCGAATGGTAGAGGGTGGACCTTAATTCATCACTTCAGAAAACCCATTCCCATTGATTAGATTGAGACAACACTCCCAGCAACCTGGAAACGCCTGGAGTATGTGGGCCACCTGTTGGTTGCAATTCTTTTGAACTTTTATGGACAGCATCCATCAGTCTCATGGATCTGCCAACTGGGGCACATTCTGACAACCATTGCTCATCTTCCACTTCTGAATCACATAGGCCACTTTCAATTTTGGGCATTTCAGCTTGCTAAATATGTGGCATCTTGAATGTGACTAATACCATGACTATTTTGTGGCAGAGGGTGTGACGTATATCAGGATCGCAAATATCAGCATTTTTATGGGTGTCCAAATACTTATTGGTAGATAACGTATCTTCAGTCTTACGTGTTTGGAAATAATTGCAGGAGTATTTTACAAGACAGAAGGTAACATGGTTGAAAGAGGGAAAACTATGATTGATACTCTGGCTCAAGCATAGGGTGAATTATCCTTACCAATATATATAGCCTGATGCATATTTCTGCTTCCTAGTTTCATTATGCAAAACAGACATTAATTTACTCTAACAACTGCTCATTCCCAATTTTATTCATCAAAATTATCATTAGTGAGCGAGTCATAAATAATTCAGTTCAGTTAGGAAACAGTTCTGATCTGATCACACAGATGAGCATTTTTACTTACCTCTTACTATGTTAACAGGCCACATAGAAGAAAATTTTTAAATATCACAGGTAACATGGATGATAGCAGCATGTAGCTAAATGTACTGTATTAGACAAAAAAAAAAAAAAAAAGTGAAAAATCTCCATTAAAGATGTTTCTAAATAAAAAAGAAAACAAAAATTCACTTAAATTAAATCTGATATTTGGGAAAATGTAGGAAAGCCAAATAATTCTGTAAACATGATGCTGGAAGCAACTATTATTCATTACATTCCGATTCTTGATTACCAGCTAAAATTAACTAAAAATATAATAACTAAAATTTTTATCTTTCAGCTATATTGTTACAAAAGATTTAAAATCATTAAGACGTGCACTTATTGTTTTTAAATTGCATTGTCTGTTAATCTTATACAATTAGAACTTGAAAATGAAGCTGTTTGGAATGTCAAATAACAATACTCTGAAAAACTTGCCAGGTCACAAGATAATAAATGCCATAGTAACATCAAATTTCTAAAAAACTCTATTTTGTGCATTTCCAGTGCCAACAAATCTCCATACAATATTTACAGATGAATAATAAGTTAAAATTTTAATATTAAGCTTTATTTCATAATTTCCTTAATGTATCATTTTTAAATGCACTATTTGAATTATCATCATAAAATGTAAAAATATACAACTACTTTAACAAATTCAGTAAGTGTAATTTCATAAAAAATATTTAATATTTTTAATTCGACATATTGCAGTTTAAATGCATTTTTTATTTAAATCAATCAAATTAAAAAGTAAGAAAAATGTTTTTGATTGCATGCATTCTTTTAAACCACTTGGATTGTAAATCAGTAATACACAGATTCTGAATAAAATGTAAAACTTGGTTGCCTACCAAAGGAGCATACTTGCTATAAATTAAACTTTCATAGGTGCTTTCCTTGAATCAATGAACAGGATATGTTGTCATAGGTTGCTATGACATGTGAAGAAAAAACATATTGATGAAGAAGGATAACAGGTGATCAACTTGATTGGTATGTTGGCAGATGCTTGGCTGCAACAATTTCATATAATACTTTATGTAAATGTTGTCGGGGACACTCTGCTAGATTCTTATTCCTATTCTAGTCTTTGACAGCTACTTTCCATGTCAGTATTCAATGCCTCACATCACCACACTGGAGAGAATCAGGGGTACTGGCCACATCGATAAACAGGTACAACACACACTTCGGATAGGCACATTGGGAGGACATGCAGTCTTCGTACACATCTTTCTTGGCTTCTACTACAAGACTATATAGCACTGAACTTTATGTACTGTGCAGCCGATAGGGAGAATGCAAATTACCCAACAATTTTGAACAATGGTGCCTTTGCTCACTTTTAGATTGCTGATATTTCACATTTTATTAATAAAAAATTCATCAAGTACAAAATATGTAATAAATCAAAAACAAATTCAAAGTTCTGAAGGTGCATATGCTTGGGTGGAGGACTACATGTGTTCAAAATTTGGTATCTCTAGGTGTTGTAGTTTTTCCTCCACAATGTGAGGAACATACAAACATACATGTTAGAGATAACTAAAAATTTCTCCTACTTGCTACCTCTTTATGCCTAAAGTTAATAAATGTGGAACTTATAAGCACAAGAATTATTTTAGTAACATTTTCATATAATTTTTAAATAAATTTTTAGCCATTTCTTGAAATAAATGCATCATATATTAAATGTATTTTGCATATTTGTATTTTTACATATTTCTCATTGATTTTAGATTTATATGTTCCTTGGAAACTTCAGTGCAACTTATGTGCTATCTATAATCATATCACTGCTTTTTGAATATCCATTTGTTGCTTTAGAGAAAGCAGCTCTCACAAGATCATCATCTTGATAATATACACGACAAATTTTAATTGATTATACAATATTATGCTGAAGCTATGATTTATTAATAATCATAGCATTTAACTCAGTGTTTGATTGTGATATTTTTGTAAAATACAAGTATTTTTTATGCTAAATAGAAATTGTGAATAAGTACAAAATCTGTTATGATAAATACAAGTATTTTATATTTGTTATGTATTTCCTCTGAATAATTATTAAATACAAATTAAAAACAACTTTTTTGTACATGTTCTTTGTATTTTTTAATTTGTATAAAATATTTGCTTTAATACATTTTACAGACCTATGAAAGATATGCTTCGAAAAATTTATTATAGTTAGAATTGTTAAGAAGCTGCACATTAGATATCTAGATATATTAAAAAAATAGCTGATAAAAATTAATTCTATCCACAACTGTACAAATCGATCTGTTCACGTATAACTGCATTCCATCTTCAACAGTAAATGTGTATATAGGAGAAATCTTATGCTACTTATAAAATTAAAAATTATTTAAACCGTTTGTAAATATGAAGAATAATCATTCAATGAATTATGTCAATCTTCCTTTCTATCTTGGGTAACTTTCTATAAATACAATTACTTTTTATATATCTGTATTGTTGCATGCATACGGGTTCTAGTACATTGAATACACACAACTCCGATGATAGGTTGATAAAATGTATTTTATTGAAAATACAATCAATAGTTACACTTCAAATTACTAAGAAGGTTAAGACACAATGCAGTGCAAAGTAAAGCGCATCTAGAGAGCAAGCTAACTCAGAAATATCTCAGTACTTCGACTCACGCTGAACTAACAACTGAGAGCAGATGTTTTCTCCGATCTTACAGTTTTCACCTGCCCACAGAGATATTTCTAATTCTGCTTCTCGAAATTATGGGAAGGCATATGACAGTTACAGCTACATACAGTATCAATTACAATATCCATTACAGTTTATACAGGGACCAGACAGAAATGTTGCCAAATGGTCAATAACTTTTCATGCTTTCTCGCCAAACTTGTTGACAAAAATTAGTCGCCAAAACCGTTGCCAACTTGGCGATATCTCATAAATTTAGTGAGGCAGCCATTTACTCAATATCAAATAGACTTGCCCTTGTATTTACTTTTCCAGTAAACTTCGCTTTTCTAGATTTTCATGGTTATAGAGAAAAAAATGTAACAGTTTCATATATAATTGCACTAAAATTATACATTCTATGTACAAAATTCATAGCATTGCCCCCTTCCCCAGGATGGCACATACTGAGCAGTACAATACCTGGACAGAATGCCATATTTACAATTGAGGCAAATCAATGTAATACTTAAGCAATAATTTCATTTAAAGAAGCACTAAATAAATGAGTGCACAAATTGAGAAACAAACATAGCCCTCTTATACTATTTACATTATGGGGATTACATACTACAGTAAAGGGCTAGCCTGTCATAATGAATGACTTTAAACTTAGAACTTGATGGCTTATGGATCCGAACTACGTTGTTCACCCGGTTTAGGACAATCTTAGTGACTGTAGTTTAGGAGAGCAACCTTTCCATCAAACCAATTTCCATAACCACACCTTGTCACCTTCGTGTCCTACAGTTCTCGTGTCGCATTGGGTCTTCATCTTCTCGGTTGCCAAGCTAACTCGCTCTCATGCAAAATTGTACATCACTTCAAACGGTTTCTGGAGATCTTGGATGTACTCCTCAGGCGATGAAGGTGCATCCGGAGGGTGACCAAACAAGAGATCACATGGCAAACGAAGGTCATCTGAGATGAAGAATAGGCAGTAGTCTCGTGGACAGTACTGCGATAGACCCATAAGAACAGTGGTAAATTCTTGTCTCAGTTCTGTTAGTATTTGGAAATCACCAGTGAGATGTATTAAAGATAGTTTGATTAAACCTCTCTACCATGCCATCTGCCAGGGGATGTAAAGGTGTCGTTTGGGTTTTGTTGATGCCGAAGTAGCTTGCAGAGTTATGTAACTACAGCCAAGGTAAAATTTCCTTTATTGGAATGTAACTGAAGAGGCACACTGAACCCAGAAATTCAATGCTATATCATTACCTCTGCACCGTGACAGCCTCTTTATAAGGAATAGAATACGCTTCAGGCCACTTTGTGAAGTAATCAATGAGAGCGAGGATGTATTTGATGCCATCGGCAATTTGTGGCAGAGGTCCAAGGTTGTCAAAGATGATGCTTTCAAAAGGCGCTCCTACACTATAACATTGCAGGTTCTCTTAGCTGCATTTCTTCAGTCCTTTCCAACCTGCACAAGTATCGCATGCTTAGCACTATTGCATTACTTTCATAAAAGCGCTCTCAAACTCTGTGCAAAGTATTCATTACTCCGAAATGGCCTCTTGTTGAGCTGCTATGTAATTTTTAAGGACGTACAGGATCTGGGATCTTGGAAGTATCAGCTGACAATGGCATATCTTTCCATCATCCGATTCAAATTCTGGGAAAATATGCCATTTTGAATATGGAGAGAGCCCAATATTCTTTTCTTGTAGGACTATAGATCGGAATGTCTCTTCCAGGTAGGTTTTCTATTTGAAGATTCTATTAAGTCAATTATTGGTTTAATGTCACCATCTTCCAACTTGTCTTTCCTGACCTCCTTATCACCATAGGTTTGGGTTAGATGATGCTACACTTGTAACTCGACATACAACTGGATTAAGAAGTGTGTCACTTTGACTCTGGAACAATATCAGCAGCTTTTTGGATAGAGTCTTCTAAGACAGGGCGTTTGTATGTTATGATCCTTTCCAATGACGAAAATTTGTCATATTCCTGGAGTCTCTGTATCCATCTGGCTATTTGAATTTCAGGATTCTTGAAATTTAAGAGCAGGTCAATGATGCACGACTGTGCAGAGCAAAAACTTTCTGTTGTACAGATAATGATGCAGGGGTGTTTGTGGGACCCCCAAAAATCCCCTGAAACTTTTACGAACTTACTACCGACATTTTGGAGTTTCGAGAAGGGGGCAGGAGAGAAATGAAAAATTACAATTATGAAGTATTGAATGACCTAATTATAAAAGTTCAATGAATTACTTTTTTTGCAAAATTAATAACCATAAATTTTAAAACATATAAACTACTACATTTTATGTAAATATTTTAAATTACCTGAATTAATTCTTTAAAAAAAATTATCTAATTTCTGCTGCTTTTTTTATTTTCTGATGTTTGTGGGCTTGTCTTTCTTTTGTGGTGAACTTCATGATTGCAGGAAGGTTGACTTTTATTTTCCTCATTTATAGTTGAAGAAATTTCCCCGAGAACTGCACATGCAGAGGTATAAGCAGTTTGCTTTTCTGCTAATGTAGAAGGTTTTTCAGAGACTTCTATAGGTGACTCATCTGAAATACATGTTTTTAAGTCCTCTTGATATGTTTTCCAACTTCTGTTCATATTCAGAAAGTCGGAGGAAAAAAAAAGTTGAGAAGCGATCAATGACAAATAGCTAATACGGCAAAAAATCCCCCTTCTCTACTTATTGGGGCCATGCCAGGAGAGATAAGACCTTTGAACCCAGAGTCACGTGATCGCACATCTGGTCGAATGAAGACTCTCCCTTTTTTTTTCTGCCGCGCCTACTTGCCGAAAAGAATCCAGAAGAGAATTTCCGAGAACCGGGGAAATGGGTCATAACTCGCAATAAGGAAAGAACAAAAAAGAAGTATTTTCACGCATTATCACTGCCTTTGGAGAAAGAAAGGAAAAGTTTTCACCACACACATTAACCTTGCGTTTTCTGCTTTCAAAGCAAACAAAATTACCCAGATCAAAATAAATAATTCATTATTATTCCTACTTCCTTTTGAACGATGATCCCCGGAATTTCCGGGTATCGAAGTTCAAAATCCCCGGAATTCCCGGGGTTTCCCCGGAGCACAAACACCCCTGATGATGGATATGTTCTATGGCTTTAACTATTGCAAGTAACTCTTTCCTGGTGACACAGTAATTCCTTTCTGGTTTAGATCAGGGTTTTTTAAACTTTTTGGTGTGGGGACCCCCTAATATTTACAAAAATTTTGTGGGATCCCATAAGCATTGCGCAAATCCGACACATGCGTGAGTGAAACTATCAGTTTTTGGACTTAATTTTTAAAGTAAAATGTTTCGAGTATTAAAAAATGAGTTAAAACTTTTTTCCTTTTGTCTGTATTGTATTATCTTTATCTATTTTCAAATACATTATGCAGAAACATTTGGCAATTATAAAATTATTATAATAAATTTAAAGAAATATCAAAACTGCTAAATTGTTGACGACCCCCGCAACCCAAATTGGGTTCGATCCACAGTTTAAGAAACTGGTTTAGATAAAAAACACTTGCTCCAGTATGCTTCTATACATTCTTGACCATTTACTTCTTGGGGCAAAACAGCACTGATTCTCTCATTGCTCGCATCTTGTCGAGCTGGATGATATGTGAGGATTAGAGCAGATGTCAAATCTTTCTTCAGTTTCTAAAATGCAACCTCGCATTCTTTAGTGCACAAGAACCTAAGAACGTCTATGTAAAGAAGGAAAAGTTCAATAGACATAATGTAAACCAGTTTAAGCGGAAGGAAAATTCGCCAAGGGATTTAGCAAAGGAACCTCGCAACGAGAATTTCCCCCTCCGCGATATGTACAGAAAATTGAGGAACACGTGTTAAGAAGAAATGTTCTTGGACAAAACGTTTCTTCTTTGACTTTTCGTGATAATTTAAATTCGGATTTTGGCACTTTTTTTTGCTCAAAATAACTAATCTATTAATTAATTTACTCGCATGAAAAAATATTTTCTTTTCCTTTAAAGTTTAAAGAAATTTAAAAATATGGACTCTTGATAAACATGACCTTCGAACTTTGGCGATCTGGCGACAGATATTTCATGCGGTTCCCAGACAAAAGCCCACTATGATAATTGCCCACGCAACAAGTACCCACAGCGACGAAAGTGCACATTGATAAAAGCCCACATAATCAAAAGGGACTTATATATTTTTTTACTAAACTGTGTATTTATAATTTTAATTTTAATAAATGGAGTATTCAGATCTGAATTTCAATGTCTCAAATATATGTCGCTTTGTATATTTTATCACTACTTTATTTGTTTAATTTATTATGTTGAAAGTAAACTTTCCACTCTCTCATTGATTAGCTATTAACGTTTCGATGATAAATCTGAAATTGCATTTTATTATTTA